GGAAATCCCAAAGAAGGGTAATAGATTGTGGTTAGTTGCTATCCAACGCTTACTGTTATAAACTTTCATCTGATTCGAAAACAACACTCATCCTATCGACGCTAAATGGGTGTAAGACAGTTTTCCGTGAGCTGTTGTTCCAATTATTTTTCTACTTTAATCTGATAAAATACTGATCTCTAAAAATAAAGGGTAATGGCTCAACCGCCTACATGGCACAGTTGCCTTATCAATATAGTAGTCATATCCACAAGTTGCCTGGAAAAATACCTTCTCTGTAATTTCAAAATACGTTTACGTTTCCATAGATGTCGGACTTAGAGTAGTATCTCACATTAGTTTTGAAAAGATTTGCGAAAGATTATTCGCGCGTACACCACCCTCACTGTGCCGCAGTCTATACGATGAGATGTGGTTTCTTGGCACACTTGGTACAGTATGCACCATTATTCTGCTGCAGAATTAAGGAATACAATTGATGTGAAATTCGCATTCTGCAAATCTGACCTTTATACTCAAGATTCCGGAATAACCGGAATTTCGTTTTTTGACGCCAAGTTGACGTATAAAATCTGGTCTTATAGTTACCCCTCATGCATAGTGCGGAACCGAAGAGAGGACATGAGCTGGACTTTAAGCATAGACAGGAAGGTGATTATACTTTTGTGATTATAAAATTGATTGTTATTTTTATTCAAACTTCTTCTTAAAGTGAACTCTTTTGGATAAAATGTTTTTTTAGGTGAAGGACAAGGTTGCAAGGTAGCCAGTGCAGAGAATGGAGAGTGTCTCCATCTTTTAATTTTCACATGGCTGCATCTGGGTGCACACACTTGAACGTTCTTCGTTTCAAATTTCCCACTAGCAACATGTAGGCGAAAGTTGTTTTTCCTTTCTTATACGAACTTGCAAAAGAAACAGCAAAAAGCTGAAGAAAGATGTGATAGACCGAAGTATCGCATGTGATATAAGAGACTTACTCGGCTATTGTCTTCATGCAGTGTTCGATTCCGTACCCCGTGTAGGCACTAGTCTCATAAAAAGGCATACCAAATTCCTTGAAATATAAGCGCTTCAGGTTGATTACACTAAAATAAATCTGTATCGTACCTCTGCTAGCTTCTTTCCCGCTCTAAACACACTATTCCGCGCTGAATCGCTGCCGAATAAATCTACCTGTAAAGAAAAGACTCAGCATTCAATTTTTATTTTTAAAATTTGGCGATGTTCACCTTGTTACCGACCAACGCCATAACGGTGGTTTCATCAACACCTGCTCGTACGGAGTCGATCCAGTTTCGTACGTTGAGGAAACTTTGCTCAGAGGTAACATCAAACAATAACAAAACCCCATCAGCTTTGCGAAAGTACTGCTTTGTTATCGATCGAAATCTAAAGGCATGTTGGTTGATAAGGCAAATTGAGTAAAGCTTCTGCCCAGTTTATTCAAATTATCCCTTGCTATTTTCGGAAAAGAGAATAATCACTCCTTAATGGGAATTTTTTT